CTGAGTTGCACAAATCAGAAAACGAGTTATTTGTAGGGGTTTTTAAATAATTATTTTTGGGCAATGGGTTTATTTATTTATTTATGTTGGATTTTATATGTCTAGTTCTTTTCCCTTCATTGAAAACTCTAAACACATTAGTAGAGAGAAAAAGAACACTGTATGTGAAAGCACAACCATCATCTCCCCCCCATTTTCAACAGTTTATGTAAGCAAACTGTATAAAACATGAGGAAAAATGTATTTAAAAGAAAAAAAGCAAACTCTGGATCTTATATACCACATGATAAAGAAACCCATCCAGTTTCTTCCCAGAGGCTTACTTTACATCTAAATTTAACACTTTTGCCAGATCTTCATTAGCAGTAATGAAGCAGTTCAATTTCTTAGTGTCATTAATAAACACTAGGTCAAGACTCATTTCTCAGCCAGACATATAGGGAAATTAATGCTGGCTGTTTAATGAGCTGTACTTCATTCACAAATGTTGAATCAAATGACTTTTAAAAACACGCTTCATCATAGAACACAGTAAAGGATATGAAAACAGGAAGCCTTAGTTGCCCACTACTCCTTTTCCAAAGCACAAAAGTTGTAATCTAAAGTCTCATTTCGTGAGAGCAGCTCACTGTTCTCCCCCTTGGAGTAACACCCCACTCACACTTTGCTGCTGCCAAGCCCCTGGGCTTTATCTCACTTAGTGTACTTGTAGCAAAGTCTCATCTAAGGTGCAGCTAACCCTCCAGTAGCAGCTACCTTTAGCCATTCCCACTCTTGTTTCCTCATTAGCCCATATCACCAGTTTCCTCATTAGCCTCTTAGATAACTTCTGATGTTTTGCATTTTACCACACAGAACCATTTACAGTCTCTGATACCTTACTTGCTAAACTGTCTCCTGCATCTCCCTCTTCTCTTAGAACTAGGAGTCTTGCACTCTAAGCCTCCAAGTTTACACTTAGCTTAGGGTGAACCCTTCCTCCACAAAGGAACTACTCAGTATTTAAGTTCTGATATAAAACTGATAATCCTTTGTAGAAGTTGATGAAAACATGCCTACTGCTCAAAAAAAAACCTCAGCAGAAAACTCTTGAACACAATTTTGTCTTTCATCTTGTAATTAATCTAGCTTGCAATCCTTACCCTGTGGTTTGCAATTCTTCACTTCACAGCTGACTACTATTCACTGTAAATGAGTTCACACTAAAGCAGAAAGGTAGCTGCTAAACATGAAGGAACCCCGTCTGCTCAAGGGACCACTGGAAACTGTCTGGATAGAAAAATCTGTTCTTAACTTTCACAAAGGTTGTGCAAGATGACAAGTTCTCTGTTATTTTCACCAACAGGGCAGTGAAAATAGATTTGAATGTATAATAAACCTTCAAGTCCACCTTAGTTCTCACAGATACATACTCTCATCCTACAAGATCCTACAATCAGCTTTGCCCAGCTGATTTAAAGAGTAATTTGAGAAGGCAAGTAGGTAAGAAAGGTGCTGCGGAATACCTTCTGGACATGCCTGCTCTGTGCTACATATGTTATAGTGAAAGGAAGAGTAGCAACTCTGGGCCCAGAAATGCCATACATGACTGACTGAAATGAAAATGTTGAATTCAGAGGAATAACGAATACATCCGAAATAATATTCCTAATATTACTGCTGAAAGCAGTGGAAATCTCAGTCACAGCCTTCTTCTGTAACGACATACATGAGAAGGGAAAATTACAGAAGTTCAAATGCGAGGATTCCCTAACGGGAAGTTGGTTTCTTCCATCTCACTACTCAGCACCTCAAGGTCAGCAAGTTGATAACATACATTGTGCTTTGTGAGACCTTGAAAGTATGGCTGGCCTCTGCTCTGGCCCGTGGTAGCACCCCAGCCCATACACAGCATGCTTTATTCACATGGTACTCCCTGAGCCAGGGTCCTAGTTGAGCTCTATGTCCCTGTCTTCTGTTCCTCAACTTTAGTTCTCCATTCACCAACATGAAAGCTGGTTTTGCCTTTTTTTTTTTTTTTCATTCACACCAACTTGAGGAATTTGTCAGAGACTGAAGGATCCTACCTACTTTTGAATCCCCTGGGGATACAAGTTTCCCTCTCTCCACATCAGCATGTCATATATACATCCATTAAAGCATAATATCAATAAATAATCTTTTCCCACATCAGGAGAATTTCATAGAAAGAAGTGGATTAAAATGGTTCAGAATCAAAATTCTGAACTGAGTAAACCTTGTTTTCACATTTCTTGAAGGGAGAAAATATATTTCTGTGAGCTTGGTCAGAAAATGGAGTAATGTATCACTTAAATAGGCAGAGCATCTAAGAATGTTAAATATTTTAAAATAGGTTCCTTAGGACAAATATGCTTTCACATGGCAATTGTTTTCTATTGTTTTATGAGGGTTAACCTTGGCACTGACAAAAGATAGCAAATACTTCTTTAAAGAACACTAAAGTGTAAACAAAGCCATGGCTACACTAAATCTGTGTTCCACATGTGGAGTTATGATCTCATTGCCTGTACACTTTACATTTGTGAAATGTGGTCATATAAATATTAGAAAAATAGAGGGTCATAATAGCCATAATAAGAACAAAAATCCAACACAATAGTTCTGAATAGAAAGACAAATGCAATTTTTAGAAACCTAATTGAAAAACAGCAGCAGAAATTCAGAGCTAGAAAACACAGAAACAAGGGCTTAGTTTTTTGTCACACATTTTTCTCCTTACTGCAACCTTGTTGAGTCCTGTTACACACCTTAGTTACACTGAGCAGACAGGAAAAGTAAGTTCAAAACCCAACAAAACATTTTTTTAAATTTTAATTTCTAAAGAATCAACAGGTAAAAATGTCAGAGTATTCAGTAGAAGAGTTACTCAGGTTTTGCAATAAAACTTTGGAAAAAAAATAATCTTACAAAGACTTGGATAAGATCTTTTGAAAATGGGACCTCATAAAATTTGGATACTTTTATGTTCTGGGCTGTCAAGTGTGATCCCACGTGACATTTTCTCTCACGCTTACCTCTCACTGATGGATGAAAGGGGAAATGCACTGTAAGAATCCATATCCATCAGACATTACAGGGTAAGGAGTCCAGCCAGAAAGTCCAGCCTAGTAAGAAGAATAGAAGAAAAAGTAGCATTAGAGACAGCTCTCAAGAAATGCTGTAAAATCATTTTGAACCAGAGTGAATCAGACTCCTATTAAAAATTGAAAATATTTCAGATCAGGCCTTTAAAATGTTTGAACGGAACATCTAGACTTTGTATAAAAAGATTTTTTTTTATTTTAAATTACAAAGCATTTAACAATGTAAATAAAATGTTTCAATAGTTCTACTCATTCTTACTATTCAATAAATGCTCATAAAAATCATCACATTACAGTTTTTCATTTGTCCCACTGCAACCCATAAATGCCAGTTAATAGATCCCAGATTAGGAGTTCACCTATACAGAGACAGAATAAAGCAGAGTCTTTGTCTGGTATTTAATCTTCTTTTGAGTTTACTGGGACATGTGCTCACTGGATGGCATCACATGGCCTGCAGAAAACCCATCTTCTGTTCTCTCGTAAGCTACTGAGGGAATTTGAAAAAATTTGGACTCATGACTTCAAACTAAGTATCTGGCATATGATCCTTCATCTTTCATGCAGCATTTAATAAAATCACTGGTAGAGTTTTCCACTACTCCCAAAATAATTTGTCTATTTTAATTAACCTGAATATATTTACTTTTTCCTGTGTGACATCTTGTGCCAAGCTGCACGATTCTTTCTCACCTTCTGAATGTTAACATGTCTCATGTATATATACTACAGGCTTCTGAAAGTCTTGCCTGCCTTTCTCTTTTGGAACACTGCTCGCTCATTTGTTCACTGGTTTCAACTATGTGCTGCGGGGAACAGCAATGCAGAATACCAACTGCAAAATCCTTGCCCTACTTTCACTTGTCTCAGTTCAATGTAACTACTTTTTCCCCCAATCCTTCTCCCACCTAAACTCCTCCTCAACTCCCACCACTCTTGCAAAATTTCACATTTCCAGCTTGTGTCTTCCTCATCAGCTCACGTTCTCAGCGGAGGATATTTTTAAGAAATGGCTACTTCAGAATATATGCTTGTTTTAGTCATACTGAGATTAAAATTTGCTGTGCTATTATTAAATAGCTCCTCATGTTTTGGAAGAATTTTATAACTATGATGAGGACATTCATGAAGAGTTTAGTTAGTTATTTACTTGCTTTGAGGTGCTTGGATTTTCAAAATGTGGACTTTGACAACAATTTTACACATAACTTTATGAGTTCTCCTGTGTAGCATTATTTATAGTTCCTTACCCATATATTTTTGAAGAAAACCATGACAAAAGTCATCCCATGAGCCGCGATAATCACTTCAGAAATGCTCCTAAAGAACCAGCGTAGGGGCACCTTTGGGGTGGTGCGTTGCCTCAGGAGCAGAGGATATCTCCTATAATGCAAAACCAAGGCCACCACATGCCCTGCCAACACCCCTGCTCGGGGATGCTGAGAGCACAGGGCCCATTTCTCATGTCGCTCTTCCCCATGTTTTCTGTGGCTGCTGCGGGTGACCTTCCCTCAGGGCCAGCACGCGCCTCAGAAGGGCAGCCACAGCCCTCAGCGACCTGCGCGTCAAGCCCGCAAGGAGAGAGGGAAAAGAGACTCTTAAAAGCGGCACGGAGGGCCGGCAGCCCGCGGGGATGGGGGGGGGGGCCCGCGGGGATGGGAGCTCGCGGGGACCGGGACGGGTGGGGGAGCCCACAGGGAGCCTTTAACACAGCGCCGCGTCCCACCCCGTAAAACGGCTGGTACAGGCCTCCCCGCCTACCCTAGGAGGCGGAGCGTGGCGATGACGTCGCACCACCCCAACCAATAGCAGCCTCTATTTAACCCCGAGGGGGCTCGTTGTATATTCATGAGAGAGGCTCCGCGCTGACTGCAGCGGCGGCGGGGGGGGCGGAGCTTTCTCGCCACCGCCCCTCCCGCCGCAGGAAGCCGCACGGCCGCGGTGCGTATTTATGCGGAGCGCCGGCAGCAGCGGCCCGGCTGAGCGCGGGGCGGCGGCGCCCGGCACCGCTCCCTCCCGCCCGGGCGTCAGGCGGCGAGAATGAGCCAGAGAGACACCCTGGTGCATCTCTTCGCCGGCGGGTAGGTGAAGCCGCCGCCCGGGTTCCGATTCCGGCCCTTCCCTGCGGGCTGTCAGGCGGGGCCGCCCGCCCTCCTTCTTTCCTTCCTTCCTTCCTTCCCCCCACGTTCCGCCGCCCCGGCGGAGTGGCACGCGCGGGGGGAGTCGCCCTGTCGTTGTAACCCCGGAAATGGCTCCTGCGAGGTTTTCCCGTGTTCTGTCGTCCCTTTATTTCCACCGCCCCCCCCCCCACACACACACCCCCCACACACTCCCCCTCCATGGCGGCTGTGGGGGTGCTGCCCCGTCACTGAGCGCGCCCGCCGCGGCCTGGCCCGCCGCGGGAGGCGGTGGCCGCGGCCTGGAGGGGCCGCCCGGGGCGGGCGGGCCCCACGGCCGCTCCCGCACCGCTGCGAGCCGCCCAACCCCGCTTCCCTGTGCCCGAGGGGGTCCCCACAGCGGAGCGGGGGACGGTGCTGGGGCGCTCCCGGCGCGCCACTTCCCACCCACTGCCCTGAGGGCCCTTCCGGGCCTGGCCCGGGCGGGTTGTGCGCGCTTGGGCCCGGCCCGGGGCGGAGGCTCCCGCCGTGGGAGCCCGGGCACGCCGCGGGCGGGTGGTGGCGGCCAGGCCCGGCCCCGGGTGTTGCGTTTTGTTACGGGCAACCCGGGTGGTACGTGAGGCCTTGGGGAAGCGGGGTGAAAGTTTCCCGTGAAAATCGCTCTCATCGTCATTCCAGGAGTTTGTCCCTTATCTGGCGTTTCCGTGGAGAAACACAGGCAGCCCTCTGTTCATGGGCTCCCCCACCGCTCCGGAGAGGCTGCCCAAGCATGCCTGTCAGCTCGGCAGTCTAGAAATGAGTAACTGGTAACGCCAGTGTCAAAGGGCCACTGTATCACTTGAACGCATTTCAACACTCTGGTGTGTACTGCTTTTAGGTGTAGGGCTTGATCATGGTCGTGCAGTTTTTCACCTATGAACATAGAAGAAATTGGAGGGAAGAACGTAGCTAGAAGTACCGATGTGGCCCTTGTAGTCTTGGTTAGGTTTGAGGTAACTCCTGTACTTTTGCAGTTAATATCTCTTCATCTTTTTAAACTTTGTAATGCTTGGGATATATGTGGTTACACAGCTTGTGGTGTCTCAAGGGATAGAATGGGAAGAGCACCTAGCTTAAAAGAGGAAACTGGGAATCCTGTTTGCCTTAACTATAAATGTGTATTTGGGTAGTGAAAATGGCAGTGCAGAAGGGGAAGTGACAGGCTGATAACATACTTGCCCTCCCGTGAGGGATCTTCAGGCTTGGACTTCTGTTTGTGCTTCTCCTTGACAAAATGAACTCAGTGCCTCTGGACTGGGGTGTTTGGGGTGGAAGAGCAATGTAGTGTTTACTCTGAGCAAGTCTGGGTGAGTTGAGTGCACAAGAGCACTCTCTTCGCTTCTGGTATGCTTTGCAGGTTCCCAGTGTTATGCACTTGATTCAGTGCTTATGTGGGTTGTTTTTCACCCCCCTAGTTTCTGGAACTCTGTTTAAGAGGAGAAAGCTTATGCAGCAGGAGACCCAAGATGTAGTAGCACGTACTTAGGTGGGTTTTTTTAGGACTTAACATCCTTGTAAATATTGAGAAAAGCAGTAGGACTACAGCCTAATTGTAGCATTTTACCTTCATAGGTCTGCACAAGGGTGATTACTAGGCAGAATCGTGCATAATGATAGAAACAGGTTTATAAACCTGGAACTGAAGACTGGATGAAGATTGCTCAGGTCAACTTGTTCGTTCCTGTTTTTTTGCTGAGAAGTCTGGTCTGTGGGTAGCTTCTGGCCAGTTGGGTCAAGGGTTATACTGTGAGGAAAAGGCTAAATGCCCGTTCCTCATGTGCCAACCACATGTTTCCTATAACCTTAGTTCAGCAAAGCTAACTGTATATTTGGTCACATTTAGCAGTGGAAAAGTTATTCAGGGCCACCTCATGATTTCTTTGTGAGCTTAGTGGACTACAGATCACCTGAGAATTATCTAAATCACCTGGCCTGTTTTTTGTTTTTCTTTTTTTTTTTTTTTTATAATGTTTAAGTTCAGTCTTCAATTCCTGCTTTTGGTAATGAAACTGTAACTGATGACATTGCTGTTTTAGTACTGTAGGTGGGGCCATCCTGGGATTTTTCTGTAACTGACTGTTTCATGACCAATTCAAATAACTATCAAAGCCGCAGTATTTATGGGCCATTACAGAATGTTTATGTTGGGAGTTAGTTTCATATTTATAATAATTCTATTCCCGTCATGCCTTTTTTCCTATCTCTGTGTCCTTACCCTTCCCAGCAGATTTGCTAGGCTCTTTCAGCAGTGCAGGCCACTGAGACAGGGATGGTGAGGGAATTACTCAGCAATTACTACTTGCTTTGTTTTTCTAAAGTAGTTCGTACTCACGTAGTTTCATTTTTAAGAATCCCATCTCTGTTTCATAACTGCATGTTAATTGTAAATACAACCAATGTTTTGTGATAGAAATATTAAGTCTAAAAATAAATAATTTCAGAATGGCTTTAATGTATTTTTCTAGCACCATCATTGAAGTGGTACATTTTTTTTTCCTAGAAAAGGAAAATCTAAATGATGTTGCTGAACTAGTTCATGCATTAGCTGATACGTCAATAAAGTATTACTTGATTTACATACAATCCTCCCATATGTATTACTTAGACCTTCTTGACTTTTTTTAAAATAGGATATTCTCTGTTACATAAAAATAGCAGCAGTCACAATTAGAAGTAGAAAATACATAGCATAAGAGTATCACACTCACAGGAAATAATATAAGGTAGGAAAAAAAAAAGAATTCTTTTTTTAATAAAAAAGTTATTCAATTTTAAGAACACATTCCTTAAACGCAGTTTTAACTGATAGAATTTGTAAGCAATTGGTTGCATGCACTAACTCTGCTGTCACCTAAAGACACTTACGCGTGATTTTCTAGGCTATATTTCAAACTGCCATTGTCTACTCTATACTGAAGAGTAATTGCAGGGAACACGCCTGAATGGATCAATAGTATACCTAGAGTTCAGTTTCATGCTGTGACACATTTGAAATCGCTTAGCTCATGTTTTGTCATGATGCCCCAATTTGTCAGGTTCTGTTTCTGCGAACCATGTAGTTTCCACAGCTCCATTTCTTGCCCTTGTGGGAGCAGGAACTAGCTGGACACCTGTAGTGTTGGATGGAGATAGAAAATTGTACTTCAGAAGAAACTTAGTGTTTTTGTTTGTTTTTTTTTTTTCTTCTGATCTACTCAGTTGCATTGCTCAGAACTCTTAAGTTTCAGGAATCAAACTGTAGATTTTTTTTTTTTGCATACCTTCTATTTTTTCCATATCTTAGTCAAGCAGCAATTGTTGTTACTGGAGACAGCATGTTGACAGCATAAACTCAGGTGTTTTTATTCCAAACCAAGACAAAAATCAATTGAACATTCTGCATCTTTAAATTACAGTGTCTTGTGATGGAATGTAGTCTTTAGATGAACATTCAAGTATGTAAGCTACATAGCTACATGCTTTTTCTAGTTATTAGGGTACTTAAACAACAATAAAAGTAGTAGAAAGACCTTAATCTTTTGCTTTATAGGGAAGATTAGTATGTTTTGGATGTACCTGCTTGCAATCGTAATTGGTACATAGAATGAAAATTCAGGGATTGGCTACAAAAATAAATCCCAGGTTTTAATGATTTAAGCTTTCTGGAAATGAAGAATATGACAGTAATTCAGTATCCTACAAACTTCTGTCAGGGCATGGGAACTTGCCTGGGCTTTGTATCCTCAGCAAAAGGAGGGACTGGCTTGGGTTCAGAGGTGGACAACTGTTTTTCTGAGTTCAGGGTTGGACCATCTCAGGTCGACTTGTTAATTCTTTCTTTACTCCTTGGGTTTCTTGTGGAAAGTTGTCTGGTTTATAATTCAATATGTGAGGGACAATAGGGAGGAGTCTGTTTATTTGTCCTGATTAGAGAACTGACTCAAATTGATCTGTAATTTAAAACGCTTATTGTCTGACAGAGGTTCTTAGTAAAACCCTGCAGTGGCTGAAATAGTGCAGACTCTGAAAATATATTTAAGAGGAATGTTTGAAATCTTCAGGAAGGTGAGACACTGTTGAAATGTATGAAATGAAGCTGAAAGACCCTTGGTGGTTTTTGATATAAGATGATGTTAGTTAGTGTAGCAGGTAGTGTGAGGGTAGGGGCTTTTCTACTCCCTTTCAGAAAATAGCCACTTGAGCCATAAATGAGCTGCCAGGCACTTGGGCTCCCCTCTACACTAAAATACATTCCTGGCATAACCCTTGATGTCTTTCAGAATGAGTTCTTCCTGTTGCAAGGCATAGGAAAAGGTTAGTACCTTCCTGTCCAAACCTCAGGTTATTCTGGGGTTCAGATACTCCTCTGTGGGGTTTAAGAGAGTGCGTTTTTTAAAGCACTGAGTAGCTTGGGGTTTGTTCTGTGAGGTTACCACATGGCATGAAAATTGCTGTCAGTACTTGAGAAACTGTGAAGCTGGTGTGTTTCTCATATTGCCTTCTAGGTGACTCATTTTTAGCTGTTTTTACTGAATACGAATGTTATTGTAAATATTTATTTATGCTGGTTCCTACTAGAAGCTACACTGTACATGTTGATGTTTGTTTTGGGTAATGGAACCCAGTGATGCTTGTTCCCCTTGTGGTGTTTACCCTGCTTTCACTTGTAGGCTTCTATATGTCATTATATCAGGGGAATGTTATTTTTATGCTGGTAATTAGAAGTAGCAAGTTTGATTAGTATTTTTACTGTAAGGATGTTAGCTTAATTTACACTTTCGAAGTGACAGCAAAGAAACATTATAGGTGAATAAGAGATTTAAGAGCTTCTGTCTACCAGTACTCCCTAGTTGTCATATTAATGCTAAAGATGGAAAGGTGTGTAATATACAAGTTTAGGAGTATAATAACAAGAAAACCTTGAAAGTTCAGGATTAATAAGATAA